TATAACGCCCCAATTTTATTTTAAAGAAAATCCTTGACTTTTCCAAAAATCACAGTAAAATTTTTGAAATTCATTTTCCAATTCATAAACGTTTCGGCGTTACTCATTCAATTCAAAACATAGTTCAAGTCGTGTCTGAACTAACGGGGATTCATTACCCGATTTTCAAAGGTTTTCATTAACCCATTTTACATCAACATGAACAATAAAATAATCAAGATCTCCATTTAATCAGATACTCATGAATATCAAGTAGAAAAGTTTCAAAACCAATCCAACATGTCTAACAAGTCAAACCTAAGTTCATACACTACGGAAGCAATTAATAACAATAAATACAAGACCACCCACTAGCCTTGTCTCGTCATCTGCCAACTGCTTAACCTGCATCCATGAAGAGCAGGTGGGAGTGAGCATAAAGGATATTATAATCCTCACCACTATGCATATGTACATTGAACAAAAAAGGTATGGTCGCAGCATGAACATAAACGTTAACAACATGTCTCATCTCCTACATAATATCACATCAATATGTATTACTCCTGTGTACACATCTTTCATTAGTCGCAGAAAGGGGATTCATTACCCTAACGGCGAGAGTACGTGCCACGTAAGGACACGACCTTTCATTAGGTCTTAAAGAGTCTTGCCTCGCAAGGGCAACCGTACCGTAACTCGACGGGGACAACCGTACCGACGGTCGTAACAGCTCACATCGATAGGACACATGTTCACGTGCATACATAGATCATACCAAATTTTAAAAACATATTTAAACACATATAGCATAGACTTTTTAGAATAACTAACCCACCTGGATTCCAGATTTGTTAAAACACAATAAGCACTGGACGTAGGTCGAGGCTTGACTCCTCAAACACCTACACTAAGTCAAGATACTACAATCAACATTTATCTTGACTTTGAACGGAAAACACAAATCATACTTAGTCGAACTTGATTCGACTAAGTTGTTCGTGACGTCCTGTGGAGGTTGGAACACTTAGACTTGGCACTTAGACTCAACCAAAACATGTATGGGAGTGCACATAAACTCAAATCAAGGATGACCAAGTCAAACAACAAAGAACAACTTACGAGTCAGTTTACAGATTTTAACATAAAAGCTAGATTTTTGAAATACTTGACAAGAAAATCACATAATCAGGTTGGCCAGGTAATCGAATGTGTTAGGCTCTAAAATTTTAACACAATTTCCACCTCATTGGACATAGCAACATCACCAAATTTTCAGCCTTTAACTCAAGACACACGATTTTATAAAATTAAAACAAATTTTCAACAAAAATGAACACAATTTTAAAGCCTGACCAAATGAACGAGTTAACACTTGAAATATTTACACAAGCAGCTACAACATGTGAATACCAACATATAACAATTCCAGCTTTAAACACTTGTTACACGAATTATAAATTGTAACAAAATTCTGCAGATTTCAAGATTTCACAAAAAATGTACCAATATGAACTCCAAAAATCCTGGGCATTTATCCTCATGTATAACATCACTAATTAGGTACGTAAACCGAAATTTAGCAATTTACAGCAACAGGTCAAATTTTCATAAATAAAAGGAGTTTCAGCATAATGACACAAACAATTAATTACCCTAGCAAACGAAGTCCAAAAATTATGAAACTTTTACACGACATCCAAGTACAATAGAGAGACATCTTATTCATATTTCAGCCACATTGGAGCACAACTCGATTTATTATGCAATTTACAAGATTCTTCCCAGAATTCAAAACAATTATCAAAAATAGCTACAGTTGAAATTAAATCATGAAATTTTTACACGGCCTATACGAACATCAGATGACTTGACACACAAAATTTCACATCAATCGGAGAAGCATGTGATTTATGACAAATTTAACACTTAATCAGCAACTATACGAATTCAAAAATTCATATTTGACTCGACAAACATCGAAATCGTTCGAGACCTTCACCATAAGGCCAAGGACTCTATAATGTTCTAACCCAGAGCACTTAACACGGTTTTTAACGAGGTCTCACTCGAGTTCACATGAACCGACAAGAGATCTCAACACATGAACTATTATTTCATAACATAAAATAACCTAAAGGCTATAAGAACAAAATACACATAATAAATATTTAAACGAGACGGGGTTCGAGACTTTTTACCGTTCTTGGGAAATGATACGTAGAGAAGGGTCGAACGAGGAAGGACGGCACGTCGAAGGCGGCTCGACGGCTTGACGCGCGCGCGAAGGGGCAGCGGTTCGAGGACGGTGGCTCGCGGTCACGAACAAGGGCTCGCCTCAGCTCGCGGGTCTGGTTTTTCCCACAGTGTTGTGGGCTCGCGAATTGGTAGCGGCAGAAGAAGGCGGCTGATCGCTGTTCTCGGCGAGGAGGGCTCGCGGTGGTGGTAGCCGGAAAACGAGCAGGGGAAGATGACTACATGTTGCTGTTGCAGCTCACGGTGGCTGGCCTTCTCGCGGAGGATGATGACGGCGATGTCGGATGTCGGGCCTTGCTCGTGGTGGCGTCTCACGGAGGGAAGAGCTCGCTGGTAACACGTCGAGCCTGCGAAGACCACGTGCTGCAGCGTTGGAGACGGCGGCCTTGTGATGGCCAACGGCCGATGAGCAAGGGTGGTGATCGGATCGTGAGAGTGAGGGAGATGATGGCTGAGGTTTTCTACGCGAGGGAGAAGAGAGATAGGGAGCAGATTGAAAAGCTGCGGGCATGGGATTAACGAGAGGGAGAGAGATACAAGATATATATATATATATATATATATATAGACTAGATTTTTTATGTCTTACTCTTCAAGACACACACACACACACACACACACGCACGAGAAAGAGAGGGGAAAACGGGGTCGGGCTCGACCGGTTCGGGCTGGGGCGCCGGCTCGATGCGGCTAGGCATGCGGGTTTCATATGCGGCTCGGGTTCTCAGTTTTCTCGGGCTCGACTTAGCCATATCATATTAACTCGGTTCGGCTCGATCGATAATTAAAATAACTGTAGTAATTATTTATTTAAGACAAAC